AACATACGACAACCCAATATAGAGTTTAAATTTATATATACGTATTGTAAACTTAGCGCAACCCGGCTACACCTCAAAGTCTCCCCTCGTGACCCACAACCTGAAGATGACTCTGTATTCGACCTATTCTTATGCGTGTGAACGAAAAGTTCCACAGCGGACAGTGGCACGTCATTTTTTGCTTTCGTCTACATAGTTGCAAGTAATAAAACACATGTGTTAATTGTATCATTTAAAAAAATTAAATTCCATCGAAAAGCCGTCGGAAATTTTAAATTTCTTTCTTTTTTTTGATGAAAAAAAACTTTTTCCTTGAACATTTGCGACCTATTCTAATTTTTTAAATAAAAAAATAAAAAAATTAAAATCCGTTTTATTTTCTTTAAAAATATATTTTTGGGAAGAAAAAATTAAAAAAAAATAAAAATAAATTCCGACGGATCATAATTTTTTATTAAAAAAAATAAATTCCGTCTGAAATCTGTCAGAAATTTTAAATTCCTTTCTTTATATAATTTAAAATATATTTTTTTGAAAGAAAATAATTTAAAAACCTTTTTTCTTAACAATTTCCGACAGATTTCAATTTTCAAATACAAAAACTTAAAAAGTTTTAATATGTCAGAGATTTTTAAGAAAAAAAAAAGTTTTGTTTCCTTTTCAATAATTGCTTCTAAAAAATTAAATTTTTAAAAAAAATCTAAAAAATTCCGACGGATTTCCGACGGATTTTAATTAAATAAAAGTATTAACTAAAATCCGTCGAAAATGTAATTAATTAACACTAATTATTTATTTAAAAATTAGATCAATTTTGTGACATTTGTGACGGTACTAAATAAATAAAAAAATCCGTCGCAAATCCGTCGGGAAAGTTATTCGAAATAAAAATTTCTTTTTTCTAAAAAAAATCGGAGACGGATTTGTGAGGGATTTGTGGCGGAAGTCGATAAACGTTGTCTTTTCTCGACTATTTTGGGATCCGTCGGAAATCCGTCACTGATTTTTCCGCCGGAACTTCTGCCAAAAAATTCCGTCGATGATATCCATTTTTTAGTTGTGGTTATTACGTATGCGTCAACATGTCGAGATAGATTATGAAATGGATTATTTATTTTATTTATTCGATTTTTTTATTGCACAACAATTTCACACTGTTAAACAAATGACCAATTGATAACACAAAATTTATCCTTGATCTCCATTTATTGGGCACATACATTTTATTCTTTTGACTCCAATAAAGTTCAGTCTTCAATCTTGAAAATTACATTTCTACTATTTTTCAATTTTGATGATCACATCATAACCTTATAGACATGTCATTACAACAAAAGTGGTTATTAGGAAGTCTTTAACCGTTCTAATAAAGTATTTAATAACACTTTATATTTATTTTAAAATATTATATATATATATATATATATAT